TCATGAATTTACAGCGTTTTGCCACAGATTGTACGTTTTACGTCGACATAATGCCGGAGCTCCAAATTCACGCTTCGCTTCGTTCTGCAATCATCACACCATCCTGCATTTGGATGAAATATTGTAGATCAGGGCTCCGTAAAGTTTAAAATCCGGGGTTTCCCTGTTGTTGAGCTCATATTATGTTTTGAATTTGATCCAGGAATTGCCTTTTCTTAATTCATTCCATCCTGCAGTTAGCAAGAACTGGGTACGAGACAGAGGGCGGGGAGTAGCGAGTGTTAAAAACAGTTTTCCTATCTTTTGCACTGAATGGCGCAGCTAAATTCAAACTCAGAATTTCGAGTTCCAACGCGCTTCATTCTGAATTGGTGGGATCAGTCTCTTTTGGACTTGACTCCGCAAGTTAGGCTGTAGTACGAATTAACCTCTCAAAATTTTTTTGGTTGTTCCGACTAGGCCTACCTCATTTACGCAGTTGCTCAGTTCACATTGCATCACAATTTTAGGTATTTTGGTTTTTCCTGTCCCGTTCTGTCTTTTCTTTCTTTTCATCCTCTCAGATCCTTTCCAGGTTGGGGTGCTGTACTGATGATTCATTCCCATACACCGTTTTCGCTGTCTGTGTTTGGAGCTTAGGAAATGGAATACAGACAAATCGGCATCTTATTAATAAACACACACCACATGCGTTACCATTTTAAACAACCTAGGCTTGACCGTTGCTCTCCTCTTCACGTTTAGCGTACTTCACTCAAATATAGTGAATTTTGCTGGCGTTCACTTCCCTCCTTTCTTTTCTGTCTCTCAATATCATCGTCCGAATTGGCAACCACTTCATACTTAAAACCCAGGCTGGAACGCACCGGGCGGGCCCATGCGATCATGCGTTTTTGCACCGGATTTGAAGTACTCAGGTCATTAACTGCATGAATGGTTGTTGCTTTACACATACCTTTTACGATCACTAGCATAAAACCATAAATTTTGCATAAAGTAGATGAACAATTTACATTTAACGATCGTTCTTTAAAAGTAACCTAGTTGCTCAGTCAGATATTCAGCCAAAATTTTAAGTGCCTGTACGTAAGAACCACGCGTAACTCAAGCCTGAATTTAAAATGCTTAAGTTGTACTTGGACAGGGAACATCCCTTCTAAAGTTTCAGCCTTCCAGCTTTTCTAGTTGCCGAGTTAGTAATTTTCCCGCAGGAAATTTCATAAATCTTTACGTAAGTACCATACATAGCTTGGGGCTGAATTTGAAATATTTGAGTTGTACTTGGACAGGGAATATTCTCCCAAAATTCCAGCCTTCCAGCTTTTCTGGATGCCGAGTTAGCAATTTTCCCCCTAGAACTTTCAAACGCCCTTGCGATTTTCTGGATACCGAGTTAGCAATTTTCCTGCCAAAAACTTTACATGCACGTGCGTGGATACTCTAGGTACCTGAAAAGCTGAATTTGAAATTTTTAAATTGCACGTGGACAGGGGACATCACCTTAAAATTTCAGCCTTCCAGCTCTTCTGGTTGCCGAGTTAGTAATTTTCCTGCAGAAACTTTCATACGCCCTTACGCGAGTACCACGCATAGCTGGGGCTGAACTTGAAATATTTGAGTTGTACTTTGATAGGGAACGTTCCTCCAAAAATTTCAGCTTTCTAGTTTCCCTTGTACCTGAGTTAGCGATTTTCTCCCTAAAACTTTCAAACGCCCTTACGTGAGTACCACGCACACCTGGAAGCTGAATTTGAAATCTTTATCTAGTACATGCACATGGAATATCCCTACAAATTTTCAGCCCCTTAGTTCATGTGGTTCCCGAGATCGCTTGCCGGCCAAAAAATTTGCATATTTTTTTAAAGCGTCCGCACGCGGCATCCAGGCGTCCACGGGGGATGAAATTAAAAAGGCAGAGTCGCGCGTGGTATAGGCACATATCCCCAAAGTTTCAGCCTTCTACCTTTTCTGGTCCTCGAGTTGAAAGTGGGTGTCAAAAAGTGCGAACACACACACATACACACACAGCCTCTTCCCAATATGCGTTTTTGCAATTTACATATATGCAAAAACGTATAAAAAACTATACAACTGCGTTTATTGCCTGATTCATCTGTAATTCTGCACAGGCATTACTTATAACAACTTTTTGGTCTGAGCTCTTGTCACTCTCCTTAGTCATATGAGACTAAATTTATTATGAACCAACGTTTTAAGTCAGAATTTTAAGAAAGGTGTTGATTTCAAGTTATAGTCTTGTGCATGGCCAGGAAGTTCGCTTCCAAAATTCCCGTGAAGTATCTGTGTTATAAAGCTGAGTTTGAATAAAAGGTCGAAACACACAGCATCCGGAAATTGATTTCACAGTCGAGAATTTTATTCTCGAAATTTCAATTCCCTAGCTTTCATAGTCCCGGGATTAAATTATCGGTATGACAGACCATTTTTATGCGTTTTTGTTGTGCATCGCAATAGCGCTGCTACAGTGAGCAAAAGCGCATATTGTTAAGAGGCCGTTCGTGTGTGCGTGTGTGTTCGGAAGTGAGGGAAATTTGTCACCCACTTCCAAACTCAGCAACCAAGAAGATCTGGGTAGCTGAAATTTAGGGGGCATATTCCCATCCCATGCGTCACCTTCCCATTTTAAAAACTTCGCTCATACACACCTAGATCTCGCCTACGGACCCCTGGAAGAAAACGCAGATTTCTTTGGCGGGAAACGATTTCGCGAACTAGACAAGATAGAAGGCTGAAATTTTGCCAGGATATTCTCAGTGCACGTATGAGCCAAATATTTCAAATTCAGATATCGCACACGCTTGTGTCACGCATACGGTCAAGTCAAATTCCGCAGTCAGCACTGTGCCAACTTGGAAACTAACCGGGAAGTAGTAGCAGGAATTTTGTCAGAATATTTATCGTTCGTGAGGAAAATCATATACCTAAATTAAGTTTTGATTTGCTCTGCGTTAAAAATTAGGGCACTTCAAGGATATTTGTAACGAATTGGCTTACCGAACAAGCTGCGAGGCTGAAACTTGCAAGGGTATTCTGTATTTACATGTGATTTTAATTCGGCTTGAAGGTGAAATTCCCTGCACGTGGACACGGCAAATACTTAGTTTTATTGCAAATACAAAAGCGAGTGCATTTTGCAGACTTCGTAATCCTCTTCCGATTTCCTTCAAATTTGCATTTTCTCGATGAACTGAAAAACTTCACTGAAAAAAACTACCAGGCTTTATGCGAAAAACTTGTAATCATGCACGCTGGAGGTCTACGCTGCCCCATAAAGCAACGCTTTCGTCACGCCCGACGCCCTTTCCCTTCCATGCAAAAAAAGGCCAAAACACAAGCAATATAGTCCAAATGTTAAACTGCACCGCAGGAACCATTCCTGTTTCTAAAGGTCTGGAAGCTTAGCGCAGAAATGCATGATTGTACCGGCAAGCCTGGTGCGTTACAACCTGGGACATTGATATGAGTTATTTATTTGTGATTTGCTAGGAACCCTAGATAATTTAGTTTGTAAATATGTGTTTGGAAAACTGCCAGCTGGTAGAATTTAGTCCGCTCAGTAGAACGCTTGTTAACAGGAGAAATTAGGAGGAGAAAAAAGCGGAGGGGGAATGGAGATTGGGGAAAGGAAGAGGAGGAAAGAGGGAAGCTAATTTTGTGAATTTGAGGAAGCAGTACCGCAAACCAAATGTATTTTGGCTAGAATTCTTTATACAACAAAATTTCATGTTGTTTGCGCTTTCTGCATAAGAGTTAGTGCGCCTTCTGGAAATTTCGAGGCACTCGGCACGAATTTGATCGTGAAATTATGCAGTTCGCTTTAGTAGAAACTGGCAATGTTTTTTTGTTACACGGCAGTACACTGTAGCCTAACTAGGGGAAAAAACTGAAGAAAGCGAAGTGAGACATTCCTACTCGCTTTGCCACTGGAAAGGGGAAATAAAAAGCACAGAAGAATTTGGCTGGAGAGGCGCAGGAGTTAGCAAAAGCCAGCTTGGGCGACACAAAACTCTGCCAGATGTGTATACGAATTTGGTCACAAGGCGCAGTTTGACTGCGCTTAAAAGCAGATGAGCTCAGATACGCAAATTTGTCTTTAACAAATGCGCCTCATTTTTGAGCTTCAGCAGATCAGTTAATTTCAATATTTCCATTTCGATTCTTCTGTAATGTACGTAGAGCTTAATTTCGCTGTTGTCGTAGCAGCCGCAAGATCTCCGTGTGCACCTCGGGCTGTATCTTTTAGTTGTGCTTCGCATGTGCGGGTCTGTGCTGTTGGGTCGAGCGTGATGATCACGTACAGAGGGGTGGAAGCGCTCAATCAGCTGGCAGTAGGGTTAGAACGGACGGTTGGTCGGCGATTGAATATTTTAGTTGAAATGGAACAAATGCGTGGGCTTTCGCTGCTGTAAATCGCTTTGCAGGCGGCGTCGTCCTACGTTGAGGGAGTGAGTCTCGATGCAGCAGTAGCGGCTGCTGCTGCTGCAGCTGTCAGCATTCCACTAATCCAGGAGGCTGAGAATAAGACAGTTGTGTTTACAATAACCAATTGATCGCGTCTAGCCAACTTTGCCTCCCGTTTGTGCAGTGTGCCGTGCCGGTGGCTGTGTCCGGAATCAGCGCGGATTTCGATTATGGCGTCCCGACCTGCTACCGACGCAACCCTCCCGCCGAAAGGGACTCTACGGCGAGAAAAGAAGGTAAGTCCCAGGATATATTCATGTTTAACAAATCCCAGATGCGTTTCAAATCAGTTTGCACGTTTCTCCTGGCTTTTCCTTTTTTTTTGGTGGGGGGCGGG